CGTAGAGTCATTTAAAGTAGCTTCTGATAAATATTGGTGTAATGGGTGAGAAACCCTGAAACGTTTTCACATTTCCGCCTGCCATGACCCAAGGGAACGGTCCTGGACCAGGAGAAAGGACACCTCCGCAAAGGGCTAAGGGTGCAGGAGCTCCAGGGTGGATCACCTGTGCAGAAAAGTGGATGGGATGTGGGCAGGTAGTGTGGAATGTAGGACATCCACCGGTCCTTATCAAAAGTACGCTCGAAATGAGTCGTTCACTTATTATCTTATCCGTAGTGTTCGATAGCCCAAAGAACTGCTCTCTAGTACTACGGATAAGATAGCAATGGAGTGGCCCCCCGAACTGGAGTTTCACCTTAAAATGTTACCCAACAGAAAACCGATTGAAAAATTACGCAGCAGCATATGACTGAAGTGATCATGGTAGGTCTCTGAGAGTACGACAGCGATGGAAGATGACATGATGTTCTGAAGTGTGAGGCCCGTGAAGGAGGGTGCGCTCCTGTTTACTGAGTGATTTCTGAATGGAACGCAGGCAAAAAATTTGTCACAGCAGTTTTATAGTCACTTTGATTTCCGATAATAAATATGAACTCATAAAAATGAAAAAAGCAATGATAAAATAAATAAAATAAACTCATTGCTTGACCGTGAGTGTAATCCGCCTGACTATTCCAATATCTTATTTTATGAGAGGTCGAGCTGTAAGGAAATAATTTTGCCATACTGTTTTTGAAGTGTTACTTTTGACACAACAGATTTCTGATTTATCTTCTCATTTTGCAGAAAACTGGAATGATACTGAAGTCCTTTCAGGGCAAAATGTAAGACCTAAAAAAATCAATGAAGTTTTATTACTAATTAATCAGGCTGAAACAAATGAAATGTAATGAGATTCTTGCGAGCATTCGGACGAAATATCCGAAGCTTGCTATCCGCGTGTGGCACATCCTCGACCATTGCACGTGAGGAAAAAACCGGCGTTCGGATTACCAAGGTAAGCGTTTCCGTACTGGTCGACGTTGTAACCACCTCCGTATGGTCTTCCATATGCTGAGGGGGCTTGATAGTTGTAGTTCTGCTGATAGTAACCTGGATATTGCTGGTTGTAGCCATAGGAAGGATACTGGCTGTACCCATAAGAATTCCTGTAAGACGGATATTGGCTGGATCCGTAAGCACCTCTGTAAGAAGGGTACTGGTTGTACCCGTAGGAGCTTCTATATGAAGGATATTGATTGTAGCCGCAAGGACTTCTATAGTAAGCATGATTGTAGACGCAAGGACTCCTATAGGAAGGATATTGATTGTAGCCATAAGAATTCCTGTAGTAGTGATTTTGGCTGTATCCATAGGCATTTCTGTAGTAAGGATTTTGGCCGTACTGATATGGACTCCTGGAGTAGTACGTCCGTTGAGCATAGGGGTTTTGACGATAGTAGGAGCCGTACTGCGAGAATACGATGGCGAAGAAGGCGTAGAAGAGCATAAGGAATAGTAACATATTTGTTAGTGATAGGGATGTCCACTGATGGTCAGGTCGATATAGTTACTGAGCAGAAACTGTCCAAATGGCGATTTGATGGAGTCGATGGGGGTGGTTCAATCGCGGGGATTTGCCGCTTCTCCGTTCAGCGCGTGTTCGCCGCTTTCTCTCTTATGCAATACTATCAAGAGTTCTCTCTCAGCAGCCCTGAAAAGCAAGAATTTCTCACCTCGAAACCCTATTTAGAACCCCTCCCTTCGATAAATGATCTTCGCTTATATCTAATCAGCTTTCACCTCATCACCTTGCGGCTCATGAATTGCATAGAATTGTATGAACAGACCTTGCAGTTCCTGAACAGACTGCCCCGCTTTGAGAATTGAGGTGTTCGTTAGCAGCATTATTTCACTCTGCACACTTTTGAATACTGGCTTATGACACACGGGGAAGCGCCTTCCCACTGGAACGGTGGCCAGGAGAGCAAATTCTAACACACATCCCTCGTCCCATCGCCCCCCGAAGGGAGACCAGCCACACACGTCAACACTGTTCCTGTCAAGCCCGAATGAGCTCGTTATAAACAGTGTATAAATTCAACGTGGACTTTACGATACATACATTAGCTGCCCGTTCAAATGGTTACAGCAATAATCAAACATGCAGTGGTGAAGAAAAATGCGATCAAATTGGCCCAGAACCGGAGAAAGGTCCCTTCTCTGCTTTTGGTTTTCGCTGCAGACGAACCAGTGACTCTTAAAATTTCAGTAAACACCATAATCTGAATGATCACGCGCTACGTAGGAAAAGTAAAAGATTACGCCGCTTATGGTGGTTAGAATGTAGAACGTATCGCCCTTTTTTTAAGATGTGCACGGACCTCAGCTTGTTGACAAAGTAATCTGACGACCAACTTCGTTTCGAAGACGTGGTCGCTCGCTATTACGATTCCCAGGAGGCCATGTTTCGAAGAGGGGCATTGAGAAGCTTCTGATGTTGAGCGTTCTGCTCAGTTGCTGGACAAAAGGTGAATCCTTCTATTCAATAAACCACCGACTTGGTGTGTCGAATTGTATACTCGATATCGGAGAGTTGGGGTAGGCGTGTCACCGGAAGTGACGTGCACTTGATAGAAACTATGTGGATAAGCTGCTTCCAACATACATCGCTGGATATCAGCAAAGCATGCTGGCAACAGCTTATCCACGCAACTTCTATCAAGTGCACGTCACTTCCGTGCGACACGTCTACCCCAACTTCCGGATATCGACTATGTATGTATGTATGTGGTCTGTGTCTGTCCGTCCGCAAAATGAAGTGAGTGATAAGGAAGCTCATGGGATAAACAAACCGCTAACAAATCGGGTAGCTTCACAGGACTTGAGATATCAATGTTTTGTGTAGGATAATTTCGTATAATGTATGGGGGGAAATAATTTAAACCCGTTTCATAAAAAATCGGAAAAATATTAGGTACCGGATATCTTAGTGTCGTTTTTTCACCCACGAGTTTCGGACCACCAATATTTTAATTCAGAATCCGGGGAGTGAAACAGCATATTCATCGAATGACTCATTAGCACTTTCCCATTTACCAGTATGAGTGGAAACCTCGTACGATTAAAGCTAGGAATTTTTTGAGTCGAAAAAGAGGTAGGTCGGTTTTGACATCATCTGACAAATCATCCCTCTCACTTGCTAAAAGTTAGGCCTGGACAAAAGAAAGTACAGTTAGTTAGATAGGGTCTGCACTATATGGTGGAAAGTATAAATACCAGCTCAACTGGACAATTTTTTCCCGGAGTCTTTTTTGCCACATGAGGTCAAAAACGCACCCTTTTTGAGCACACGTGAGTAGCAGATGAGCACATTTATTAGAATTTCTTGGTCAATCAACTTCGTTAGAGCGTTTGTGCATCATCGATCAGTCACTGCTAAGGGTGTCCTACCATTTCAGCACAAGACTGGTGCAGCCCCGTCTCGACTGATTTAACTAGGGCCACCTTTTTGACGACGATTGCGGGCATCACTTCAAAGACTTCACTGTCTTTTGAGAAAACTGTGAAAAACCGATGAGCATTTTAAATGGTAGTATTCCCTCCAACAAATGCAATGTTGGTTTGGTGGGCGGAAGTTGTAGCTCTCAGCAAGAATTTTGAAGCATTTGGTACACACATGCGAATTTGCACACTGGACCCAGGAATTTTCAGAAAAAAGTATAAAAATTGGGGGAAAGTTAAATTGTGAACCAACAATAGGAAAGCAACATATTTCGCAGTATTAATGAGCAAAAAGACTTTCTGAGATATTGATTTTCCATAGTAATCGGCCCCAAAACTTCCTGAACTCAGAAAAGCGACACTAAGATATCCGGTACCTAATTAACATCTAACGAGCACACCTCCGGCCATTCCACATGGTGCTGCAGTGGCAACTGGAGGGCCGTGGAGGGAGGGAGAGGAGGCGAAACACCTATCACCAACAGACCTAAGGGGAAATTAGGTGCTGATATGTCATTCTACCGTCATGTCATGATTATGGCGATGCCCTCTACTATATGAAACTCCTTTTTGTTGCATACGCGTCACCTCCACGAGGTGTTGGTGTCACAGGTGGAAGGGACCACAGCGGAAGGAGTAAAGCTTACGCAGGGAAGGAAGGTCCCGGCGGTTGACGGGGGACTAATCTGGTATAATAAAATGCAATTAAGCGAGCTAGTGAACGGAGAAGAAAAATCTTTTGTCTTATATCAAGACAAATCTGTTACCTGTAACGTATTTTTACCATTCGCTTCTTTTCAGCCAATGTCGCCATCTGTGTTGATCAATCACTTTCATCAATCATGCATTCTACTTCCATTCCTTGATCATTTGAAGGTGTTTACGAATCCATACGAGAGAAATGATAGTCACTTTCGGCTTGTTCAAGTTTCGAGTTAAATATTAGCTTCAGACAGGGCGCACGGCAGACGGCTCCACTTGTCGCTACACCTCCTTGTGAGGGCTTTACAGACATGAATGAGATCATTATCAGGGCAAAGGATCGAATCCTTCCTGAAATTTTTACCTTTCCCTGTGGAAGAAGGGTAAGTCGAAGAAAGATTTCACGATGAAAAGTGGAAAGACACCTTTCTGGAAAAGGCGGCAGGCTCGCCAAAAAAGGATGATTCGCTGCAAAGGGTGGGCCCGCAGCTGTCGAGCAGAGCCCTGCCCGCGGCGCTATCGACTCTCCACGCCCACCAAGCGGCTGAGATATACTAGAAGCGGTGGATATTCATGCTTATACCGTTTAGACATATTTTACACATCGTTATAAAAGGGCACTTACGATTTTTAAATCTTATAGAGAATCTTCTCTATGATCTTGATCTTTGACTTAGTACAATAATATGTTCATTTAGTAAAATCATTTGACTTTCAGCTTATAGAAATCTTGATGACTCATTTGTAACATGTAGAAAGCTTATCTGGTGGCTGATCGAGGATTATTGTTGTAATACAACATAGTATTCCATTGAGCTCGGCCCGCCCACTTTAGCCGTATAAAAGGGCCGCAGCTCTTCGCTGTTCAGTTTTTATCCTGTTCGTCCACATCGTCTCTAGCGGTTGCTGTTCTTCAATAAATCTCAAGAAGACCCGCGTGGCAAAGCACAAGGAGGAGGAAGAAAATCTTATATGGTGCATCGGAAGCCGAGCAGGATCGAACCCGGGACAATCTGAGGAAGATGACTACGAACCTTTCAAGCCGTCAAGGACTGCTCACGCGAGCCTGCAACCGGCTCAAGGACACGTTGAAAGCTCAAGACGACCTCATCGCAAATGCAGCTGACATAAGGGATGCCGACCAAGAACAGAGGCTTCTACAGGATCATCAGTGGCAGATACAACGAACCATACAGCTCATCGAGACGGACATGGAAGCGGTGGACAAGGCACTGGAAAACTATTCCATCGCTGCGGACAATCTGAATCCAGATACGCCAATGTCCTCCAATAAATCTCAAGAAGACCCGCGTGGCAAAGTAGAAGGAGGAGGAAGAAAATCCTACACTTTTTATATTTTATTATTTTTTATATAAAGTTTAATGTTTGGTTTTTGCACTTTCACCTTTTCTCTTTTTCTTTTTCGACGTGCTGTCTTATCAATCAGATTGTGATGTTTACAAACATTTTCAAGAGTCACTTGTAGGCCGCAGCGGAAATCAATGAGCAGAAAGGGGGCCATTTCCCGGTTCCAACCGTTTTTACCGGGTTTTCTTTACCACTGTGCCTTTGACCATCGCTTTAGTCACCTTCATCCCATATATATAGTTGGAAGGTCCACGGTTGAATTTACACACTGTCTACATATAGCAAATCCTCGAAGAATTTTTGTTTGGCCAAAAAGTGCAAATTTCATTTTAATAAATTTGAATTGCATTTCGTATGTTTCAAAATAGTCTCCTTTCATGCTGTCTGCGGTGAGGTGGTGAGCAGAACGACTCCTGACGACGGCAGCCGAGCTGCTGCCAGTTGCGCATCTTTTTGCGATGAAACGGAATCGGCTACACCCTGAAATGATTCAGCTGGTGTTGATTCACTAAAAGGAAGCGGAAGATAACGAGGAAGTGTATCGGGAAAGCAATATGCACCACACGAAACAGTTACTTGGCTGCCAAGGAAGCGAGATGTGGCGCTTTCACGACGAAAGGTGCGCTGGTTGCTGAGCAGGACTTCGAAAGCACTCCGCCCCAAAAGCGATCCGCCCACTAGTTTAGTTGGTGATTTGGACGAGCTGCGTTGCCAGCAGCGGCACAACTGGAGCAACTCGATTGGAGCGTGGTTTGGCATGGTACCACCAAACGCAATTGCGGTGAACTCGTTCATACGTTCTTTCTGAGCTTTCACCTGTTCATGAGTGAAAACCATTGGCCAAAAAGGGCGTCCCTTCTTGCATCCTCTTAACGGATTTTTCTACTTTGTCGCCACTGTTGTGCCATTCAGCACCCCCACAACTCTTCTAACCCAAAAACTATCGTAATCGCTGCCTTCAAAGGGAAGGCACTATAGCAAAATGCGAGGCGTCCTCTAGAGTTAAACCTATGAGGGACAGGACCTTTGGAGGGAATGAAAAGTGCTCGAACTCAATGAAGTCTCCCCCCCCCGAGGCTTGGCCGCTAATTTACAGATCACAAGACTTAAAGTTGACACGGTTCAAAAGGCGTCAGAGTAGCAATGCCCCTTGTCTTGGGGTAGTGCCAAAGAGAATATCAGGATATTTCCGATAACTCGATGCTCATTCTCCGGGGATAGAGGGAGTTGTGAGCAAAGACTACCTACCGTGACTGACTCATTAGCACTAAAGATAAATGTGATCTTGTGATCGGCAGGAATACCGAAAATCCCTCCAAGTACTTCAGCGAGTTTGGCTGAAATTCGGAATGTTAATGAAGTAATTGCAATTAGTGCGCTGCAAAGTTCACGTGTTACCGTATGTTGTATAAGGCCGTATCCAGAGCACTGCTCTCTGCTTGTTGTACTCAAAGACTACTCGACGATTGTCCGCATAGTCGTTCAAAGCACTTTCGGCAGTACTGCGGTCAGTATCGGTAGCCTTAACTATCAAGTTCAGATAATGCACTCTAATATTCTAGACCTTTATGCTGGCCAACTCTCGTAAACCGCCTTTATGCACTTGATCTGTAATATATTCAATCATTAGAGCAAATCGCACAGTCATTACTGCATTGTACAGAGGGAGTCTTTCGGGGTGTGGAGCGTTTGTGCAGAGCGGTTCATTGCATGTTATTAGAACTTGGAGAGAGGACTACAAAGCTGAGATCTAATTTCGTGGGACGGCTCTTTGAAGGCCAAAACATAAAAAAGGATAAAGCATTTGCCGTTGATCAATCCCTTTTTGGGATGCGGCACGCATTCTACTTCCATTTGTACATTCGTAGTGGCGTTTGAATGCGATGTGGCCTATACAATGACTTGCGGGGGCCAGCCGATGTACAAGTCAGTGTTTTTATCCTCCCAGACAAGTCTGGTACCAATTAACCGACCCCGGAGGGATGGAAGGCTTGGTTGGCCCGGGCGACTCACGACCCAGGATTTGATCCCGGACCGCTCGCGTGGTAAGCGTGCCACTTGCCACTACACCACTTCCGCCCTTGGAGGAGGTAGGTCCAAGTTTCGCTCTCACAATAGGCATCGTCACCAACAGTAAGTGTTGTCATTACCAGAAACATCAGTAACCTTACGGTACTGAAGTTGTAAAATCAAGCTATTCCGAGCGAAATTTTCTTGGTCCTTTCTGGTCTTCATTGGTCGCTCAACAAAAAATGAACCTCAAATTGAAGTTCTTGTCGAACCCCTACAGTATGCAAAATATCGCTTTGAAAATGTGTTCTACACCCTCAAAAGCCTCCCTTGTTAGTCTAAGGAACAGCAGCCTTCCCGAACTAGCGCTTGATCATCTGGGAAAGGTGCTCAAACACATGGAACAATTCCCTGAACTTGGTTGTTTCTTGATTTTCTGTCAAACAGTGCTCGCTTGAAGTACCCTCTGCTTCCGATAACCGGGTGAGCGTCGAATGCAGACCACATACCAACAGTGACTTTACAAAATGCAGAGGTATTCCGTCAATGAATGATAGCCGACTGCATTTGTATTCTGTCACCTGCCACTAATGAATACCAATATCATTTACCAACCTATCAGCTATCGCTGACTGAAATCGGAAAACAGAGAGTGCAATAAAACTACAATTTTGTAAACTAATTTTTCAATAATTTCAAGGAGTCTACTACTCAGAAATGTTCAACCGCTGGGCACTTTCCAGCAAGGGGTTTGAATTTGCTGAAGTGGGCTTCGTATTTTATAGCTTCATCCTCTGGTGAGTCGACGGCTCACACACCTCCCCAAAAAAAAAAGAGAAGAGCGTCCTGTGCAGAGACATACACCACAAGTGACGACGGCCTCCAAGTAAATCTGGTTACTAGTGGTTCATAGCATAGCTGATTTTTGGTAAATGATAGTTGTAATTAGTGACAACTGACGAATACAACTGCAACAGGCTAATCATTTCATTGGCAGAAAACATTTACATTTTGTGGAGGCCGTCGTCACTTGTGGTGTATACGATCTGCACCCGACGTTCTTTTCGTTTTTTGAAAGAAAGTATACATATGTGTGCATCCAATGAGTCAGCTTATGAAGCTCCTAAGGAAAACGTATGAAGAACCTCTGGACGGACTGGTTTCGATTTGTTAGTTACTATTTTTTGGCCACCATCCGCCTCGGAAAAGTTTCACAATGAGGCTGAGCTATGAGCAAAATACTTTGCCCCAGCTCGGAATCGAAGTGACATTTCTCGTTTTCCGAGCAGCTGTGCTACCGATAACACATGATTCCATTCCGCAATTATTTCACGTAATCCGTAATACTCGTATGTGGTGGCACATCTGCCCGGGAAGTGTGACATATACACTGCGACGCATAATTATAGTTCCACCTACAAATTTCCCAAAAACTTGAATCTGGAGATGTTTTTGAAAAAGGCTCTACAGACAAATTGTGACACATATAAACGCGAATCTGAATATTAACACGGAAATCCAGTTTTTTTTATCCTCATTTTTTCGAAAATACCCGCTTTGCCTATGACGCAAAATCATAGTTCCACCTCATGTTTCTCCGCTGCATTTTGCTTTTACCCAATCAAATTTTGAAATTATTACCCATTCAAGTTCCTTAGCTTATAGCAAAGGCAAAACCGCTGTCAACTTCCGTAAAAGGAAAATCCTAGCAAAAGAGACGCAGGAATTGTCGAAGTGTCAGCTCACGCTGGAATTTGTCGGGGTGACTTCATAACGAACAAATTTCTCAAGGATGCTACAGGATATGATTACTGGGAGGAACCCTGATTACTATCCGACCGAGATAAGCGCCGTATCGTGAGAAAATAATACGACTTTATCCAGCCGGGTACGGAAATCAAAACTTCTTCAAAAGTTAGTGTCTCAATGGAAGCAGTTTCACGTGTTTTACAACACGCTCGTGACAGTCCATGTCTGGAAGATAAGAAATACGCTTTTTGTGAAAAGAAATCAGAGAGAAAAACGAGCCATTTTTCTTGAAAGTTTCGCCAAGTCGAGTGAAGCGGTGGACATTCTTTCATTTGTGATTTTTGATTTGCGTCTTTCTTTCTCTTAACGTTTTTCTTTCTCAGATCGGTTTTCTACTTCGTAGCACACATGTATGGAGAAGAAAATGATCAGGAGTATGGTCAGAGGTTCCAAAATATCACAGATAAAAAAGTGTCCTCACTTTGCTCTACTTAGCAAAACTTTTTGAGAAAAATGGCTCGTTTTCTCTCTCTGATTTCTTTTCACAAAAAGCGTATTTCTTATCCTTCCAGACATGGACTGTCACGAGCGTGTTGTAAAACACGTGAAACTGCTTCCATTGAGACACTAACTTTTGAAGAAGTTTTGATTTCCGTACTCGCTGTATAAAGTTGTATTATTTTCTCACGATATAGCACTTATCTCGTCGGAAAGTAATCAGGGTTCCTCGAAGTTCATATCCCGTAGCATCCTTGAGAAATTTGTTTGGTGGATGGGTCACCGCCGACAAAGATGACGTAAGCAAACCAGCCCTTTTGGCGCTTCGGCTGGGACCGTGTGCTGAATGTTGGGGAGGGGATGGAGTCCTCCGACGGTAGACGGACCACTTCAACTCGGTCCTTGGAACCGCCACAATTTGGTGCTTACCTCAGAACTAAGCCTTAAAGAGAGGACGGGTCCGTCCCCTCTCCAAGGCTTAGTCCTGGGGTGAGCAAACCAGCCTTCTGGCGGAGCTGCTGGACCAGCTGCACCACTTGCGTCAGTACTCTCCTATCGTACCAACCGAGTTGAAGTAAACCGTCGACCGTTGGGGACCCCATCCCCTCCCCAACATTCAGCATACGGTCCCAGCCGAAACGCCAAAAGGGCTGGTTTGCTTACCTCGACAAATATCAGCGTAAGCTGACGCTTCAACAAGTTCTGCGCCTCTTTTGCTAGGATTTTTCTTCCGCGGGAGTCTGACAGCGGTTTTGCCCCTCTCCTATAACCTAAGGATTTTGAATGGGTGAAAATTTCAAAATTTGATTGGGTAAAAGCAAAGCGGAGAAACATGAGGTGGAACTACGATTTTGCGTCATAGGCAGAGCGGGTTTTTTTTCGAAAAAATGAGGAAAAAATTGTTGCTTTCTCAAACTGGATTTCCGTGTTAATATTCAGATTCGCGTTTATATGTGTCACAATTTATCTGTAGAGCCTTTTCAAAACATCCCAGATTCAAGTTTTTGGGAAATTTGTAGGTGGAACTATAATTATGCGTCGCAGTGTAGCTTCAATTTCCACCTAGGGCTAGGTGCCTTGCTCATAAACCAGCATCTTGCGTCATGGAAGAACTTGCAGGTTAATGCGCTCTCAGAATTGAGTCACGAATGAGGTTGCATTTCATGATCTCTGTGTTTATCAAAGTCATCAGTCATACAATGTAGAGATCACTGTTTCAAGACGAGACCGTGAGCTTGACCAGGAGTGAGTCCATTGGGTGGATTCAGCTGTTCATAGAAACTCGAGTTGACATCATTCTGAGAACTGCCACCGTTATCAACCAGTAGACGTTGGATGGCTTTCCTGCAGATTCCAAAAATTCCTTTCTAAGTAAAATTCATTCATTAGAAAAATGAAGGAAAACCATTTCCGATGGCTGGGGGAGGCCAATCCAGAGCGAACTTCTGAAGAGCTTGCAGTACTCCTTTGAGTGTCCTACAAAGCTGCAATCAACTCGGTGCATGTGACCGATGAAGAAAATAAAATGAACCGAATAAATGCTATACGCTCTGTACAAGGTCGAAAACGAAAAAATTTAGCGGTTGTTTGTTGTCTACAAAGCACTGAGAACTGACTAGACCATAGAGCTATGAGTGATGAGAGGTGAGAAGTGGGAAGTAGCACGTTAGCACCAAAGACAACAGCACTTTCACCTGTCCTGGTGCCACAGACAATAATGGCTGAGTTGAAGGTAACGACTCTAGAGGAGGTCTCACTACGAAAAGTTCGTGCATTTCTTCCCTGTCTAACACTCAGCATCACAACCTGTGGAGCCGAACTGAACGGGACTTTGTGCCATATGATTTGCGTCTCTGTTTCCGATTTTTCTCAGAGAATGGGAAGTATGCACTACGAGAGCGTAAAGTGTCTTCAGCGTTAGGACCAGGACATGCGCCAGATTGCGGGCTGGCTGTTAGCAATAACTTCGAAATGGCAAGAATGAAAGAGATCAGCGAACAGAAAAATTCTGAGCTGAATCATTCAAAATGATTCAATATTATCTGTAACACGAAGTTGTAAGTGTATCAGATTTACTAACTATTCAAACAGTTTCAAGTGTGGTTCAAGTACCTCCAAACAGAGAAAAATGACTATGTTCAACAAATGAACCTTCAACATACGGCGAAATCTAAGAAGGTGCACATCTCTTCTTAACAAGCATGGCACTGAAAAGGAATCCGGCATTGACGAGCAGGTAATCTATTTGGAAGCCGTTTTTACTAGAAGAAACTGTCCCTGTAGGGTGCCTGAAAACTCTATCCCAATGAAAATGGGGAACTCTCCACAGCTTCTGAAATGTGTGTACAGCAGCAGTCGAAATCAATCACAACTTCATGGATGGAGGATTTAAGATGAAGTATGCTAGCTCAGTTGGTCTTCTAAAAACCAATGATATAAGAACAAAGTTTTCATTCCATTCAACAGATCATTTAAAGACAAGTCCATGTAGAAGATGTACCACTCCACATTGAGGCAGATGGTACGATGAACTGCATGTGAAGAGAAGGGAATCGACTCAGAAAAAAAACTAGGCCTCTAAGGGACTAAGGCGCAGCGCTCTTGCAGCGGCGAACACGACCGTGGCGGCCTAGCAGGGTCACGTCAGTGGTGACCGCCGCACTCGTGGAGAGGCGTCTCTATCAGTTTGTCTTTGTAATTCGTTATCAATAAAAACACGATTTTCGCCGGTGTGACTGCGTGCTTCTGAGTAAGCTCGCCCAAACGACTCTGCCTTGGTGCTGGCTCAACGAAATGCAGATCATTGGTAGAATGGATTTTATTTAATTGTCACATGGCGAACTCTATTTTCATTTCCGAAACAATTTGTTGTAATATTCGCCACTGGAGTGAAAGTTTCACTTAGTTCTCTTCACGAATGCTCATATTTTCTTCAAGCGTATTTTATTGGAAAGGGATTAGAAGTGGTGGTGAAGTCACATACTATTCGTTCCATGATAAATGATCATAGATGGAAAACTATGATTAGACGGGCAAAATGAAGTAGAAGCGAGTCAAGAATGCGCTCACCGTATCACACCGCGCCAATTTGCTAATTGCTTCTGGTGGTAGTGCCACACATTTAGCGTGTACTGCAATTGTAAGAATTTACTAGTTTGTTCGACCTTCTCATGCCTGACATATTCTTGATTACATTTCTGTTTTAATTCTTATTGTTGCTTCTTATGCCAGTCATATTAAATTGGGTTTGTTGGGCAGTTTTTGTTTAAATTCAAACTTCTGTGAACCAAACTAGTTTCATTGCGAATGTTTGAAAATGTCGGTATGTTGAAGAATGCATCTAGATCTCTAGCCGAAAGATTACAGAAGGGCAAATGCGCAACAGGACAATTTAACTACAATACGAAAAGGAGAGTCTTATAAGGGGCGCAGTAAGCAAGATCAGTGCTGTGTTTACCCCAGTCTCTGCTACTGATCGGCACTGAGCTATTGGCTCAGTCGCATCGGCAAAGAAGATGGAGCCTTGAAGGTTAACCTCATCCTGAGCCTCCACTCACTTTCGATGAGGACCTTGCGTAATGAATTGGAAGTGCGTCCGTACCCTATACCCAGGCTTTGTAGCAAGTACTTGGCCACAGCCGATGCTCTACCACACGGCATCTGAGTGGAAGGATGAAGTCTCGATGGAAACCGCATGCACGATCGTTCATGTACGTGCAGCCAGCGTGACCATCACGGAAAGACTTCTGCCATCGCATGGACAGGACTTTCCTTAGTCGATTACCACTGGAGGTCAGTCATGAGTTCACTACGACAACAAAACGCGCACTCTGATGGCCATGGAAAGACGTTCAGCCTTCTCCTAAAGTCAGGTCATCAGCTGCGCAATCATTGAAACCTAAGGTTAGGCCTGGGTCTAGACTCACCTTAGACTTGTGTTTACACATTGACTTGTGCTTAAGCCTATGATGGTTGGGCCTGGGCCTAATCTTAAGCTTTCCTCGATCACTCAGTTTGACCTGCACCGAGGAGGAAAACTACAACGCGTGAAACAGAGCATGGCTGCAGCAATGCGTCTCATGCCGCGCCGTGTTAGACCATTCAAACCTCTTTCTCGAAATGATCGCCCAACTTTATGTTACAAAATATTGAGTTGTCCCATGATTCCCATCCCGTTTTCGTTCAAATTCAAATTTCTGCAAGTCAAATAGGTGTCCCCGATGCACCGTCGCTCATCGTCTGAATGGAAACGGCTGCAGCAGAATTCCTTGATAGAACCCGCATGCACCGACCGACCGTGATAGAAGCACATCTGACCATCTGCGAAAGTCTTCTCTTGCTGCCGCATAGGCGGACTTTCCCTATCGGTCACCAGTGGAGATGAGTCATGAGTCCACTGCGACAACAACACGCGGCACGTCTGATGGCTACCTCGCAGCCAGGAACTCACCAGCTCAACCAAAGCCCAAACTCCATGTTCGTAGGATATTGTTCTCGATTTGTGAGATGAACTGGGTATCTCGCTTTCATAACCGCCATAGCGCTGGGAATTGTCACCATGCTACGCTTTCGACATGTTCGACAATTTCGTGCCTCGTTGAGCCCACTTATCACATCAGTAGCTACAGAGAGCATATGAATAGTTCTAACTACGTTTTACTCACATTTTTCTCCTTCAGGTAAACAGCCATGGCAAAATACATGGGCGCACTTGAGTTTTGTCAAATCGCTTACTAACTCCATGTGTCCGCAGATTCCGTCGCACAGCTGCATCTCAGGCATAACGTCGCTAACCTAGAGAGAATTTTTCATAGCTTCACTGTGAACTTGAGCTCGTATTCGCTTCATAGCTAGCCCACTGGTACTTGTAGTCTACGATGACAGAATTCGGGCCTGATGGCTCAAAAAGGTATGCGGGGTATGCTGCTACAACTGTTCGGGCCGACAAATAATAACAGTCGAGTCTGTTATATCTGTTATCAGGTCATTAACAAAACATGAAAAAAAAGAAACGTAACGCACTACATATATCTATAGAACCTTAGCTCAGAGAAATATAGTCACTGTGGTGGTACAGATTCTCACGTGTGGTCCACTGAATTCAACTGCAGGTCACATTTTAGGCGCCATTTTCTAGGTCTTGATGATGCTACTGCGGTTTAATCGGGATATTTGATCAGGTCAACTACTAGATAAGTTCCACTAGATTGTCATAGTATTTGGTTCAACTTCTGCAATAAAACTTCTCCAATTGGCTCCAATTCAGCTATCATTAGGAAGCAGTGATAGTTCTTGTCATATTTAACGCCATAGCAAGACGACGGGCATTGGGACTAAGCTTGAATGCAGAACTTACGATAAAAAGTTGGCTCATTGGAAATAAGGTTAGGGGTGGTCAGTGGAGCAGGAATGAAGAAGAAACCATCAGAAACCCGAGAAATGGGACCCTTCCTTGCCCGTTGATTTGCGCATTGATGCGACTCTCATCGCTGTGCCCTCTTCAACACTACGCTCTCTCTGCTATCTAATCACTCGCCACGTATAGACCTGCGGCGAGTGATTAGATAGTCGGTGGGCGTACCCCGCCAACCGCGCCAAGAGTGAGCCATGCTAGATCGCCGAGGTCAAATCTTTCGCTGCCAATTGCGCGTCGGTCAGCACCCTCAGGAGGTCCGCCTGTCTCCCAACTATGCAATTTTCCTTTCTTTGACCTTCGTTCCTCTAATACGTAATTCCCTCGTTTCAAGGGATTACGATAAAGTGTGTCTGCAAGGATGGGAGTACATGCACCAGTGAAAGCAATATTCATGGGTACATGAAAGTGAGGTGTAGCCTTTTCGAGACCAAAGGGCGCTAGTTCAGCGCCATCGAGCGGCCTTTCCTTTCTGAGCTCTGTCTACGTCGCCTGCACCCGTTCATCAGCGTGTTGCTAGCATTGTTCTCACTTTTCAGAGATGGGATACATATTCCATTTCGAGCGCATGAACTTTAAAAACGTGAATGATGAAGATTAAAGCGAACCCTTCGAGCAATGGACATTGGGAAGGAAAATTGGGAGCCTTACTACTGTAAAGAACGCTAGCCAGAATCACCCCGAAGACGCTCTGTTCGATAACAAAATGGCACGCGAGGGGAATTGTGTTGTGGCATGCTCAGGTTCTCATTTGTCTCACTTCTCGACCTCCTCGCACACTCAGAAACATCCTCACGCCAAGGAGGATCTGTGACGATAGGTGTCACGAGCGGCACTGCCGATACTGCACATGGAGATCCGGGAATTCAAAAAACGGATTAATTAAACGATGCTTCAGGTGTGCAAATGCTATGGCACTGTTTATAGTTCGATTTAGAAAACGTGGGAAAAATATGTGAAAGAGAGTGGTAGATTCGTAAAGATTCGTCTGGACGAGCGCAGAAAGGCGCAGACCATTCACGCGACCTACCCACGCAGCAGTTTTTTTGGCACCGTACGTTGAGGCATGCGAATGAGAACGCTACGCTCTCAAGAGAGTGTTCTAATTTGAATACATTGTATAAACAAGAGCTCGAAAGCAAAAAGAAGAGCTTCGTGACCTTTTGTGGCTTCTCACGTGAGCAGTGAGCCCCTCTGCTTCTGGATTCTGGGTTTGATGTTCCATTTCCATTCTCGAGCCAACCCTATCGGTCTCCGCATTCGTCTCCCTTCTCTGGTATGTATCGATGCATCGTGTTTTTTGGCATATACTTGTTTTTTTAATTATTGTAGTGCCAATTTATCTCCGCACGCTATCGCGCACATGACACAGTAGGCTTTGTGGAAACTTGATACCCTGTGGAGCGTTAGATCCCAAAAGAATGGAACAAAAGTTGCACCGCGAAATGCCGTAGTTGGCATTTCCATAGCCTCTCCTTTTGCTGAAACTCACCGTAAGATACGCGCGATATTGGTGTATTCGGGAGGTTTCCGCCGATTTTGACCCTTAAATCAAAAGCGCATGCCAGCTCAAACAAAACATTTTCGATTGAAATAGGAACCATTACACTTCCCACATCTTTGCCCTTTAGAAGAAGGTTTAATAGTCCTGGATATTGAAAATGGTGAAGCTCTGTAGGCGATGGTCACTTCACCATCACGATGGGTTCGAAGTTTGACCCCTTCGAAAAGACTATCCAGATGTCTGTAAAGATTACAGTTGATAGGCAGAGGCCTACTGTGCAACATTTTTGCAGCACAGTTTTTTACCCCTTGTCGACTTCTTCGGAGCTTCTTTGGGCACCTGTATATTTGGGAACCCATCTCAGTCACGCCTAAATAAGAAAACGCCTGTTCAGCAGTCCCAATAAGATTTGTATAACTGTGTTCGGTATCGCTTTCACCCTGATCTTCTTCTAAGCTTCTATTATCAATTCCTACTACAGTGCGTTTCAAAAGTATAAAGCCACCCTTGAATGAAGCTGTTCCAAGTTAGAATGAAGGTTCCGTGATTTGATGAATAGTTTATCGAATTCAGCACGCTCTGAAACTATAGTAAACTTTGTTGTACAAACCACTATAAGCTAGAAACGGTTCCATAAGAAAATTTGAAAAACTCCCCTGTTTCAAAAGTATAAAGCCACCCCGGGCGAGTAGGCAACAGCGGTAAAAATTTTGTTCCTGTTAACTCATTTGGAGTTCTTTGGCCATAATTAGCACAAACACATTACGTCTTCAATATATCTCGTGGATCTACGTTTTCTTTGGAAGAGCAAGTTCGTGCGAGGACGTTACATCGAGCTGCCCATTCAAATCGCTCCATTGCTGCTCAACTTGGACGTTCTCAAAGCTGTATCGACATTTCTTTTGAGGAATCCAGCTTATCATGAAAGGAAAGATCCCTGAAAGGTCACGTGTTCTGCTTGAGTATTATATCCGCCATATTAAACGATCCCTTTCCAATTCTACTGCGACCATCAGTCAGATCCGATACGAGCTCTCCCTTTTTGCTTCGAAAAGTTCCATCTGGAGGGTCGCTAACTCTGCTCCAAATATCGTGCGACAATCCATGATGAAGACTCCACGTCCGGAACAGCATCACAAAGCACCTCGTCTCGAACTCGCCCGGAGGAACATGCGAACGAGTTGGGGTTCGGTAGGTGATTCTACGGGGGTAGGGAGGCACTTTCATCATGACGTTTAGTTAATGGCTTGTAGTGTTCAGTTCATTTTCTGTGGTTGAAAGAACTTCAACTTAGACGGGCCGGATGGTCATCACAGATTCTGGAGAGATTTTAGCAAAGATCCGCTGGTATTTAGCAGGAGAGACTTCGGGTGGTGGCGCATAGATGGTCTGAGCTGCATTCTACAGCGATGCTGTGCTCCCTCTGTCTTTCGTCTCGTGTCAAATGGACCCCAGTGAGAATCAGGATGCTTTTCTTAATGATCTTCTCTCGTTTCTGTGTGGAAGTCGTCGGCAAAACTTCATCTTTATGCACGATTACGCCACCATCCATCGCAGCCGGTCCACTCAACACCGGGTTTACGTCAACAAAATCAGTGTACTGGAATGGCCTGCTAGCAGCCTAGATCCAAATCCAATAAAAAACACCTGGGGTATCATTGTCCGACAGATATACGCGTATGGAAAGCAGTACAGTAACGTGGGAGACCTCAGACAGCCATCGAGACGTTTTCCTACCACCTGAATCCCGCTATACTTCTGAAGCTCACGGATAGTATGCCAAATGGTCTATTAAATCTCACTTCTAAAAAAGGAAGTCACGCTAGTTACTAATATTTACGATGTTCACTTTTTCTCTGGAAAAATAGAGTTATGTTGCAAGTGGCTTTATACTTTTGAAACAGGGGATATTTGGAAATCTTCTTATAATAAACAACCTGCTATGCCGTGATCCAGCTCTCGTTGCGCTTCCCCGAACATCAACCCGCCCGAGCAACTAATGTCGTTTTCCAAAACGCCTGACCAGTCAATTGAACGTTCTATGGCCCAGCCATGGGATACCCTCACCTTAAATGCGCGAGAAGGTTAGTGTTTCGTGGATGGAGTGGCTTTAAAACTTTGTTGAAACGCACGGTGATATATAAGCGCATGTCTGTTCTGTTTGTTGTGTGTCGCTGCGTTGGCAACGAATTCATGCACGCGGTGGGGGCTCAGCAGCGGTCAGGAGGCTGTTTTGGGAGTATGAGCCTTAGGGGGGGGGGGGGTGGGACCGGTGGGAAGAGTATCCCGTGGTCAGAAAGGTGATAGCGACTGTGGAGGGAAGGATAAGAGGCGTTGAAACATTATTTCACGCAGAAGCTGAGGTAGTGGAGGCTTCTCAGCGTTGTGAGGGGTGATTTTGGGATATGAGTTCAGGGGGTCGGCGGGGAAATACTTGGGTGGGTCCCCCCCCCTGGTCGGAAAGGGGATAACGGACTGATAAGGGGTGATAAGAGGTGCTGAAACGCAATTTCATGAAGTCATAGCGCGCCGTCGCGCATGGGCTTTCAGGAGCACGATTTTGAGGATTATGATTTTACAGGTACGGTGGGACGGGAACTACATGGTGGGGGGGTCAAAAAGTGATAACGACTGATGAGGACTGATAGTATCGATATGCGTACGAACGTAGAGAGCACTTGAAATAGAAAATAGAGAGCAGATTGTAGATAATGCCTTTCATTTCAATATCATTTCATCAGCGTTGTAATTGTAAACTCAAACACCTTTCGACCGCTACACCTTCTAGAGTTCTTGAGGATGAATGGGATGCTCGAATAAATATGATAATGAATACTGGGCTCCTTCGTAGATATTCGACGCATTATGGTTGTTTACATTCATTCACTTTGGCTGGTTGCAGTCACTGCGCTTACAAAACAGTTTGTGAGGATACAGCGATGGCAGCCTCATGCACGACATGACACTTCAACCCGACAGCAGCCTTAATTGGAGCCCCGCTCACACCTAAAGTCTCCCGTCGGATTGTCAATTCTATCAATGCGCGCGGTAGCGCGCGGAGCTAAACTGGTACAATATAAATCACAACTGCATCCTTTGTGTCCTAGCGCCTCTAGAAAGGTCTTAAGTGTGTTGTGGCGGTATATTTGGTTCGCAAATCGCTCTAATCCCTCACCAATAAGTGCCGTTCCCAGCCCCCCTGTGTATCATTCTTTTAATCTTCATTTCGCCTCAGCGCTCCATGTGCTGTGCTTAGTGGCTGCTTGCTTTTCTGCACTGGTGCCCGGGCGACAGACCGGATGCACACACACCGCAGACATGCACTACCGCCGAATTAGATGCCCCAAGTACAGTTTAGCGCCGCACGCAAAACGTGCGCGGCGGATTCAGAATGCGTGGGGCTTTGTGGAAACTGTGTGGACAACTTGCAGAATATTAGGTCACGTGACTGAGAAACTAACGGTAAATAATTCGGAAGATATGTCACACAATGTTTGAATTTTGCCCAGTTTCGCTCGTGCAGTAGCATGCGGAATGGAAATTGTACTTATCATAACTTTACCCTCCCCCCCCGTCTCAAAACAGTGATAGCATTGCATATCGGGAGCTCGGGGCGATGTGTGAGGCGGGGGTTCATAGAATTTGCCTCAATTGAAGCAATCGGTGGTGCGTGAAGTGAACAGGGGGGGCCCCCCCCCCCCGATTGTTTTTTTTATAACCCAATCACATCCGAGGTCATTTACAATGCAGCTATGATTGTGAGTAATTGGATGAAGATGATTTTCTTCGTTATTTAGTTCCTAAGGTTCCAGATAGTTGTGTGGAACATGTTCTTTTAATTCCTGTTTGCTTCTTTAGTATTATATAAGTTTTTTTTGGTTATAGGATTGGAACTTATTCCTGTGCTTTAGGAACATCTCTGTTTGTGAGTGTATCTTATATGTTTGCTCACTTTCAGTTTGTTTCGCTATTTTTTATTCTGCTTTACATGTTTTGTCTTTTTCATTGTCTCTTTTTTTCATCATTTGGACATCGTCAGCCCGGGGGGGAGGGCCCTCCCCCATGGATGCAACCTATTAAGACTATTGTGTCACCTCTACATTCAACCCTCCAAATGAGCGCTTGACAGTGACAGACAAGTTTCGAGGAGAGAACTGCATTCAGACGCTCTTGCCATTACTTGTCATTCATTCGTTTTGTCATTTTCATTTGTCATTCGCTATCAGGTCATACGGCTCGCAATCAGAGTCCCGTCCCACCACCCTCCAGGCAACGTGTAGGAGCTAATATTTACTGTCACCACGAAGGCTACAACGAAATCAGCGGTACTCAAAATCCTAACTTCTTTATCAACCGTTATCGGTTGTTATCGCTTTTGATCACCCACTATCCGTGTTCCCGTCCCATCCCCTATACCACATGTGACAGCCAAGGTTCCAATGTCACCGCGAAAGCCGCAACGAAACTGGTAGTATCCACACATTTACGCGCTTGTCAGTGGTGTGGATCGTGTGTTGTGCCAGATTTGCGTTGCGAGGGCAGCAGGCGTGGCGGCTGGGTGGGGGGGTCAGCGGCGTGTGTGGGGGGCGCATAGTGGCATGGTGTGTTGGCGGAGGTGGTCTATGCGGTCGGGGTGGGTGAGGGAGTAGAGTGAACACTTCGGGGGGGGGCGTGTTACAGGTTCTGACAGTGTTACGGAGCGTGTCTGGGGTGGTGGGATGAATGTGCTGTTCTGGGGTCTAGAGAGTAAGCAGACTTTCGCGGTGGGGGGCACCTGGGGCGGTGCGTGTGTTCACCGGTCTCGGGCCCGGCCGGGGGTGGAGTGGGAGGTAGTCGTGGGGCGTAGGGGAAGTTGGGTGGAGGGGCGGTGGTGGGGTCTCACAAGCGGGGGGTGAGAGTGAGTGGTGTCGGTTGTCGAGACGAGAGCGCGACAGCAGGAGGACAGCGAGGAGCGGGACGAAGAGACACAGCCACGACGGGCAGACGAGACCACACGCGAGCAGCGGAGGCGCCAGGCGCAGCGGGAGGGGGCGAGGCGGAACCGCAGCCAGGGCACGAGCGACGGGGTGACAAGCGGAGGCGGAGCGCGCTGGGCGGACGGACAGACGGAGGAGCGGCAGGGACGAAGCACGGCCAGCGACACACACACACGAGCAGCGAGCGACACGAGGGCGCAGAGCGAGCAGCAGAGGAGGCGACAAGCGAGAGCGACAGACGGGAAGCGACACACACCACAGGGTGCAGGCACATGGGTGCGCAGACACCGGAGGGCAGGGCGAGTGCGGCGAGGGCGCGAGAGCATCATGCGGAGCAGCGACGCGACGAGCAGCGAGACGAGGCGAACGCGCAAGACCGGTGGGCGGAGAGGTGTAGTGTGATGAGTGGGTTTATGTGTGGGATGAGGAAGTGCGCATGTGCATTGTTACGCATTCGAAGCCGACCAAGAGAATGGTGGGGCCAAGCGAGCCGGTTGGGGCGGTGAGAGGTAGACTTATTTCGCAGAGACCGTGAGAAGTTGAGCGTACTTATTCGACAAATCGTAAATTTTATACATACACCATCATCCATTTTTAAACATATAATGCTTAGCGAGGCGCAATGTGGCTTGGGGGGCCACCTCGCAACATCGCGTCAAAATCACGGAAACGCTCCGTTTTAGGACTAAGCTTTTGAAGAGGAGAGGAACTCCGGTGTACGGAAGCAATTTTCGTATTCTCCGGAGTTCGTCCCTGCTGTTTAGGCTTAGTCCTAGATGACTTTTCTCAGAGTGCCCCCCGAGCCACATTGCGCCGCTTAGCAAGAACACCGTTTCACTATAGTCTAGAAATGTTTGGTGTGGCTTCAAATACAGTCCGGGTTTCGCCGCCTGAAGATGCGGCGGCCACCGCACTAGGTGGAAGTCGCGTAGATACGGTGTTTCCAACATGCTCTACTGATTTCCAACGAAGAATGTTGGACGTAGCTTGTACCATACCTGTACTGTACGCGAGTTCCGTCAAGTCAACCCACCAACCCCTTGAGCAAGACCCTATATAATAAATGGCAAAGCATTCGCTTTTTACACCCTCCAGAAACGTTCAGCGATTATAATGTACAATGGTAAAGAAGATTGATGAAAGGTAGCCATATTGAAGACCTTACTTCGTCGACAGTTTTCATCGAAGATGTGGAGGCAGCGTTGCAGCTTTTGGAAGGTCTCGTACGGGAAAAAGTGCACTGCATCCATGGCGAGAAGCTGGAATAATCAGGATAACTTTGCGTAAACAAAACAAAGGAGTACTCACCTCGACTCCGGTGTTGTGCCCTTCATAGCTCCATATATCTCCGGAAAATAAAAAAGAACTGTGCCCCAGTACTGCTGCGGTGGAATGATACATAAGCCAAATTTTCATGCATGTGACCACGATATGGAATCTTCTTTACCGTTATCCATATCATAGAGCGGTGGCTGTATTGAAATTTCGTTGTTTTCTATTCATGAAGAGTAGAGCAGAGTATCACTACGCAGTTCATATGAATGTTTAAAAAAAACGGAAGAGGATTGACCAACCATCTTCAAAATGCCAACGACGACAGTGCGCGGCGTGGATTCCACAGAGCATACTATCTGAGACAGTTCTCAAGCCATAGCTGATCATCAGGATGTAAAGCACTGTTGGTTGGGGGTGAAACGGTAGTGGTTGATCACGCTTTTCGCAAAAAGAACGCAACAAGAGAAGTCCGGATGCCAAGGTCAGTGTTCTAGTGCATTGATGCTCTTGATCGTGCGTGAGTTGTTGGGTTAAAGCTGTAAAAAAGGAGAGCTAAAGTCACTGTAGAGGCTCATTATACACTGCTCCTGCATAATTATACAGCCACCTATAAATTTTGCAAAAACTCTTCTCTCAAGATGTATTCGAAGAAGCTCTATATGGAAAAGGTTGTAGGTATAAATGCTATTTTGCACACCAGCACAAAGTTCCAGCTTTGAAATTTGAAGAAGTTTTTCTGCAATTTTTCGAAAAGCCGCTCTGACCTATTCCGCATAATTATAAAGCCACCCCATACTTTCTCGTTGCCTTTCTTTTCTGCTCGACCAAACTTTTTTTTATTGTAATCAGCACTTTTTTTAAGTGCAATCAAGAGGAAAGTCGTAGAGTGCACGAATTCTGGGCCGAGTTTGCTTTGGAGTGAACAATTTCTTTGAACACAGTGCAGAATATGGAGGAAGAACGAGCCTTGAAGATCTTCATCGTTTTTGAATTCAGATAAACGCCGCCTCATGAGGAAGTCAAATGACTTCATCAGGCTTAATTCTCCGACAGGTACAGTCGATATCCGAAAGTTGGGGTAGGCGTGTCACCGGAAGTGACGTGCACTTGATAGAAGTTGCGTGGATAAGCTGTTGCCAGCATGCTTTGCTGATATCCAGCGATGTACAGTCGATATCTCGAAGTCTGATTGGGCGTGTCACCGGAAATGACGTGGCAGCCACCGCACTTGATAGATGTTGTGTGGATAAAATACTCCGCCAGATATCAGCAAAGCGTGTTGGAAGCAGCTTATCCGCGCAACTTCTATCAAGTGCGGTGGCTGCCACGTCATTTCCGGTGACACGCCCAATCAGACTTCGAGATCTCTGCTCAATGTTGGAAGCAACTTATCCTAGCTTCTATCAAGTGCACGTCACTTCCCGTGTCACACCCACCCCAACTCTCGGATGTCATGTATATGTTTCTGCTAGGCATGTGTTGCAGAACTGCAGGTTTACCGACGAGCGTGGAAGCATTGTTTATGACAACAAGACATTTCAGAAAGCGAGTCAGCTCCGTCAAGAAGTGAAGCCGAGCTGACTGGAGTGAGGTCGGTTTTTTACCCGTCATTTTTTCCGGTACGCCTGTCTGTCTTTTGAAGTTTTTATTTTTTATTATTATGACACGCTTTGTGACAAGGAAAAGTTATTAAGAGTTGAAAATCTTTCCAGAAAAGCAGACAAGGAATAACGTCCAACTTCACTTCATATTCTTCACTATGCTCAGAGAAATTGTTCACTCCAGAGCAAACTCGGTCCAAAATTCGTGCAGTGTGACTATTTCTGAACCCTTTCACGATTTTTGCTACCATTTGCCTTCATGTGAATTCTGATCTTTTTTTCTTTCTTGATTCTTTCTTGATTTCACCTTGAGAAGTGTTGATTGCAATAAAAAAAAGTTTGGTCGAGCAGAAAAGAAAAGCAAGAAGAAAGTATGGGGTGGCTTGTATAATTATGCGGAATAGGTCAGAGCGGCTTTTTCGAAAAATTGCAGAAAAACTTCTTCAAATTTCAAAGCTGGAACTTGTGCTGGTGTGCAAAATTAGCATTTATACCTACAAACTTTTCCTATTTGGATACTTCTTCGAATACATGGAAGGAGAGTTTTGGTTGGATGTTTAGAAATGTGGAGCAATGTATTGTAGCCTTGTTAGATTGGAGAGTATTGCCTCCATGATCGGTTATAGGGAAGATAAAATGGCCTGACGACGACTGAATTAGTGGCACCAGGGAGATAGAAGATATTTGCGCCCTACCTCAAGCTGCGAAAATACAACCCTTGATCGCATTCGTTGATTTTGCTCGTTTTGATAAACCGTCTTTTGTACTACTTGTCCCACAACTACAATTACAGTCGATATCCGAAAGTTGGGGTAGGCGTGTCACCGGAAGTGACGTGCACTTGATAGAAGTTGCGTGGATAAGCTGTTGCCAGCATGCTTTGCTGATATCCAGCGATGCATGTTGGAAGATGTCAGAATGTGATGGTCTGTGACGATGCAGCTGCCGTATCTAGTTCAACCCCCAGGTCGTTCATTTTTGCATTTTGGATGGCGCTTCATGATATTGCCAAGTAGCATCTCTTCATTATATAAACCACAATCTTGGTGTGTCGGTTTGTTTGTGTGTATGTATACAGTCGATATCCGAAAGTTGGGGTAGGCGTGTCACCGGAAGTGACGTGCACTTGATAGAAGTTGCGTGGATAAGCTGTTGCCAGCATGCTTTGCTGATATCCAGCGATGTATGTTGGAAGCAGCTTATCCACATAGCTTCTATCAAGTGCACGTCACTTCCGGTGACACGCCTACCCCAACTTTCGGATATCGAGTATATGTGTGTGTCTGTGCGTGTGTTTTGTGTGTCACGAAATTCATAGCGCACCAACCAGCAGTCATCAGGAGCTAAGATACGATATAGGGGCGGGTCGGGAACATATTTGGTGGGGCAAAGAAGGTGACAGCAGCCAATTCTATAAGAGGCGTCAGAATGCAAGTGTCATCATTCTAATTGCGCATATCCCAGCAGCATTGAGACGCTGTCTCTGAGAAATGATGCAGAGGGTCGGAAGGGAACATATCGACGGAGAACAGTGGGTGATAGCAGCTGATAAGAGGTGATATGAACGAGTAGCTCAAGGGCGGAGGTGTCGCTGAAGTTCTTATCTGGATGCGTGATGAGGAAACATTCATTTCATTCGCGATGTCGTCGTCAGTATCGAAATCCATTCGACCGCTAACCTCTCCAACTTCAAAGATGGTCGCTGTTCGTAGAAACATGATGTGCTGTTGGGTGTTTCTATTTCATTATCATCGCCAGCAGAAGTCATTCAACCGCTAAACCTTTTCCAACATCCAAAGCATGATAGGTTTTTACGCTAGGGGCTGGTAGTAAGCATTCCATGTTATCTAAGTTAGGTTATAGTTCGCGACTCGGGAGATTAGGATAGTAGGCGATAGGATATTAGGATAGTAGTAGAGTAGGAGATTGCGCTGACAAGATTGGATACGTATCGATTGAAATCGCTGGAGAGTAGTAGATTGGGCGACTTCAAGCGAATAGATCAATACATATCTAATCTTGTCAGCGCACTATCCTAATCTACTACTATCCTAATCTCCTACTCTACTACTATCCTACTATCGTAATATCGCAATCTACTACTCTCCGGCGATTTCAATCGATACGTATCTAATCTTGTCAGCGCAATCTCCTACTCTACTACTATCCTAACTACTATCCTAATCTCCCCGTCAATACATATGTTTTTCATTGTCGCGTACTATCCTAATCTCCGGAGTCGCGAACTATGAACGCAGCCTTATCCAAAGCTTACGGCTGCTAGACCATGTTACTTACCTAAAAATGATGGATATTTATGGGCATTGACGAGCTACGGGGAATGACTGCTTCATCACTAGCACTGAAGTGATTCTTCATTAATAGTCGGCCAAATCCATTAAAAGCATGCATGCTGCCTAAAGAGGAGCTCGGCTATGCTCACTACCATGAAGCTCAGCCTCATATGTGCGCGCTAGAGCGGAGCACCCTGGTTTGGTAAGTATATAAAAGACGCAAACGCGTTCCGAAGCCAGTTCCCTTCTGGGAGTGGCTCGTGGAGAGTAGCGAATCTGATCCTAGTCGATCGGCCGCTGGCTTCTACGCCTACGCGTCCATCGAAAGCGAACCCATCATTAAATTCTTTAATTCCACAACAGACGGCCTATCATCCTCCGAGCTATCAAAAAAACCAACACCACCAGAGGGGCAAGCCTTCAACCACATTGTCCGAAAGGGGTCTAAGGGAGAGGGGTTTCGAACGAATGCGGGAAGGAAGGCGCCTATTCGGCAAATGAAATTTTGAAAATAGACTAGGTCTTCCAGCTGTATTGACCTGTTGCTTACATGTATTCTGCTACCGAAATCCACAAGCGATGTAAAAATCGATCTTTTCTTGGCTCGAGGCCCTACATTCATTCCGGTATTAGAACTTCGCATTCAGCCATTTATCATTTCTCCCAATGCATAAGCAGAAGTCTGTGAAAAAATTTATCATATTTCATAATGTACAGGCAATGATATTGAGCGGCTCCGATTCATTTGTTCGCATAGACGCTCTTCCATATTTCTGCAAGACAGACCGAGCTGTGAAATCGGTAGAAGACCGTCAGAGGAGAAAAGCTGCGTACAAGAAATACCCATGACCGCTCTCCATAGAAATCTGAAGAAAATGGATAATGCAGTGCTTTCAACTCCACAGAGTGAGAGAAATGTGTTTGAATCCTCACCAATAATATTCTCAGAAAGAGCTGGCTTTTGACCTTGCAGAAGGTTCATCATAAATAAAGACAGATTGACCGCTAAGAGAAACGTGATGGCTTGTTTTCCAGGCTGACTTCGTTTATTGGACGTCCCGGCTTTCACCTTGGTTGCAAGATAGATCACGAATGTCTGCGTACCAACCTGAAAAGCTCAATGCAATCCTTCCAACAATAGATGTTTAGTCAATACTGATTGAAGAAAGGTTTAAAAACGCTACAAAGGAAGTGATGATGTCAAGTCGTAATTTTCACCTGGATAAGCCTCAGTATGTGCACGACAAAAAGAAGAAAAGCGAGTGGCTGCCATTGACCTTCTCCTGTCAAGCCAACGAGCCCTGCTACAGAGTACATGAGCTCACCGACCAGCCCAAGCC